AACTTAAGATTATAAAAGTGGTAATTACTCTACATCTTTATTCATCAATTATTGTGAAAAAGTCCTAAGTATCAAGGATTTTTTTTATATTAGGTGTGTTTCCTTGTTATTCAAGATTTTTTGAAATAAGAGAGTGGAAAAGAAAGAGAGTTGTTTGGTTTGGTTTGCATACCTTTCTGTCTAGGATTGTTTGAAGCAAGAGAGTTGAATTTGAGAGGATTGTTCTCATTTCAACTTGGTTGATCACAAGAGAATTGTTCTTGGTGACTTTGTTAGATACGAAGACTAGGAGAGTCTTGGCCATAAGATCTAACAATAGTAAAATCTCTTACATGTGGTAAGGGGACTAGATGTACTCTCAGATTGTGAGGGGAACTAGGATAAATTTCTATTGTTCTTTAGTTTTCTGCATTTACCACTTTCAGCATAAATCATAACCGGAAAAGAAAGAAACACTTCTCTAAAAACCAGAAAAATTTATTACACCTAATTCACCCCCCCCCCCCCCCCCTCTTAAACTTACATCAACAGTCATGGGCATAACCTATAAAAGCTAAATTTTATAGTAACAATCTCAAGATCCTCCTAACCTAGACAAATCACTGGTGTCATCTCTATAAACTCTTATCTTTTTCCTTATACTATTTACTATATTGTTTTTACTTTTCACTTTTTGTTTTACTATGATCTTAAAAATACTAACACAATTCCCTTCTTAAGTATCAAATCCTTAAATTCAATTGTGAATTTTAAATAGAAAAATTCACATCCCCCCCCCCCCCTGTGCTTGAAGTCACTTTTCCAACAGGTCCTCCTTCTCGTTGACCATGGTCCTCACAACATCCCGTCCATGGGAAATATTTCCCTTGGTAATTAAGAGCTAGGATTTCAACTCTTATTAGCAAGTGATTCTCTTTTAAGTTAGACAGCTTGTGGGATTCCATGTTATGGATGGCCTTGTAGTCACCAGGGAAGTAATCAAAGAAGGGGAGGTGGGCTCCAATAAAATTGATGGCATCGAATTATGGATCAGTCCATGTCATGAATTAAGGGGGTGAGTCACCCACAACAGGTGAAGAATGATTTCCTACTCTACCCTCCTTAAGGGTTGCTTATGGATTTGGGGGGAGGGGAACTAAGGTCGTTGGGGGAGTTTCCTTCAACCTATCTATTGTTACATTTGATTGGCATAATTTTATAGATAACATATGATGCAATATGCCATGATATTATGTTGAGACATCTTATCTCTATGAGATCAAAAAGGAGGCAAGGTGTGGAGTAATATGTCCCACACATTAAGGAATATCCTACCTCATAAGCCAACCAGTATTGAAGTGAATCTCGAGCCTGATTAGTTTCCTTTATTGTTTGATTTTTGTATGCTCATTTTGGAATAAGGAAAGATTTCCCGAAAGATCAATTTTCAAGATTTAAAATGATCAAATCATAATGATAGAGATTTACTGTATCAAATATTGCAAATCAAAATAATGGAGATTAATGTATTTCTCTATTTAGATTTTCTTCAGCCATAAGTAATATTCAAAATCCTAACTGGCCATACAACTTGATTCTATTTAAGAAGGAGCTCTTCATATAGAATATTTAGATCTTGACACAACAAGCAAGGCGTGTTTAGGATTATGAGTATTTTTTTCATTGTTAAGTTGTGAAACACTATTTGCTTGTGGAATTCCTTTATAAAGGAATATAGTTTGTTTTTAGTTGTAGTTGGTGAAATTATGTTCTAAAGAGGACATATGTTGGACCAGATTCCTGGGACAACATGTATGACTGGTTTAAGATAGATGAAAGATTCTGGGGACAAATGTCAGACATAATATTTGAGATATTGTATACCAGAAGAAAATAGTCATACAACCAAGTTATGAAAATTGGACTTATACAAGATGATGGAGTAGAAAATCAATAAAGAACACAATAATTGTTACCCGAGTTCATTACCAACCACACCTACATCTAGGAGGCATCTAACCCAAGAAAGGAAATTCACTACTTTGAATTAGTACAATTAGTCTTATAGCAACAACAACCATATGATGTTCAATTCCTCTTCCTAATCCTAGTGACTTTCTATTTAGGTCTCTCTTTAGAACTATTTCACTTCCAATAGTCTAAAGGACAAATGGACTTACTCTGAATTCTCCCAATTCAAGGTCACTTTCCTAATACTACCCGTGAAGCTTCGTCCTAGTTTCCCCCTAAACATGAGAACCCTTTCACTTTCACTCAAACACTCTCCCAAATTTTTAGACAATTACAATATGATTGAAGAGATAAAACAATCATCCCACACAAATACTTTGTTCTCAAGCTATAGAATTAGTATCTTGGAACAAAGTTTTGTAACTACACTGACAAATCAAACTCTAGGCCTTAAGATATTAATGAAGGCACTAGAGTGGTGCACAAAAATAACACAAACAAAGACTCTAAAGATAAACTCTAACACAAGAAATCATCAAAAATTGCACACCTCAAATGTGAGGTTTAAGTCTTCTTAAAAAGAAATCCAATTCTAGGCTTTTCCAATGGGCATTAGCAGCTTGGATTTCGTCCATAATTATAGTTGATAAAGTTAGATTTGATTTGTTCCAAAAAAGTCTCCAATAAAAGATATGATTTGTTGTTGATTCAATTTCAAATTTAAATCTCCATTTAAATTGATTTGATCATCTAACAGCTGACAAACAAATCACACAAAGGACTTGCTAAAAAATAGCAAAAACTGATTGAAATCTAATCAGAAAATTCACACCTAACAACATCCATCATGACCTTCTGAGAAGGGTCAGATGTTGCACTGCACACATGTTGGAACATCATGTTCCACATGTTCCACCAAAACATATAAATTAACTTTCTTCATATAAATCTTCTTTGTAGAGTATTTCTTGGATTAAATAAATCTTCCTTTAAAGCAAATCCAATCAAATCTTCTTTGACTAAATCAAACCCGAATATTATGATTAAATTATATCATCCATATCAAGATTTAATATAATCTTTTTCAAATTGATTTGGATTAACAAACTTCTTTCGGTAACAAACTTCTTCATCTTCTGAAGGAATTAACAGAAAGACAAATATGAAGGAATTCTAAAGATAATCAGAACTCAATTCTTACGCCAAGATGTCACAAAACATGTGTTGAATATCTTGCTCAACAAGTTTCTTACAACCAAATATTTACATCAAGCACTTTAGCAGAAACTTGGACTGGACAATTATTCTTAAAAACAACCATAATCACTCTCAGATTTCTTCAAGAAATCTAGCTAACAGGTTGAGGTTAAATGCCGGAACACATGTTGGAACATCTCATTCCACATGTTGCCTCTGCACAAAATACATCTTGTACATATTTTGTTTTACTATATTGTAAGGTAAACTCACCTACTTCCTTAGATTTTGTGTCAAACAAATGAAAGAATGTACATTTGTGTCATAAAGTAAATATGCTAAGAACATTGTGAAGATATTTGGGCTATAGAGTGAAAGGCACAAGTGTACATTGACAATAACTCGTATCAAGCTAACCAAAGATAACCATGGAGTTGATGTGGATCAAAGATTTTATAGAAGTATGATTGAAAGTCTTTCGTATGCCACAACCAGTATGTGCTCATTACCAAGCAAAGCCAAAAGTTAGTCATCTCATACAAAACAAAAGAATCATTAAATATATAAATGGAACTTGTGACTTTGGTATCTTGTATTCTCAAGACACCAACTCCATTCTTGTTGGGTATTGTGATGTTGATTGAGCGGGTAATGGTGAAGATATAAAAAGCACTTCTAGTGGATGTTTCTTTCAAGGGAATGATCTCCTTTTGTGGTTCAGCAAAAAGAAAATTTATGTGTAATTATCCACTGTTGAAGTTGAATATATTAATGTAGGAAGCAGAGGCACATAAGTGTTGTGGATGAAATAAAGACTGGAAAAGTATAATGTTATAAAGAAGATGTTATGATATTATACCATGACAACATTAGTGCTATAAATATCTTTTTAAAATCTAGTTTAACATAGTCGTACCAAACACATTGATATTCGTCGCCATTTTATTAGAGAGTTTGTTGAAGAAAAAATTATTACCATGAATTATATATCTACTGATAACCAACTTGTTGAGATATTTACCAAGGCATTAGACGTTACTCATTTTGAAAAATTAAGAAATTCCCTAGGTTTATGCAATGTTAAGAATCTATGGAAGTAATGTTGAGATGGCATGGAAGTTATTAAAAAAAATTTATAGCAATAACCATCTTTTGAAAAAAAAATACATAAATAATCATGTTTCGGAGAAAATTACGCAAATAACCATGTTTCTAAAAAAAAGTGAATTAAAGAGGAGGCGCCACGTGATTTGGAATCTCCTATATATTTTTCAAAAAAATTTAGTTATCTACGGATTTTCCTGCAGATTTGACATTACCTGCAGACTTACCTACGGAATTACCTACAGGAAAATAGTCTGCAGATAAATCCGCAAGTAAGTCCGCAGGAAACGTCAATTTTGCAGGAAAATCTGCAGATAAATTGAAATAATTGAAAAAAATTTAAGAGATGACTAGGCGTCATCTCACTAGGCACTTCCTTTGAAAAAATTAATACATGCGTCATCTGAGATGGCTACTGCATTAAAACGTTTTCTGAAACATAGTTATTTGTGTATATTTCTCCGAAGAATGATTAATTATGTTTTTTAAAACATGGTTATTGCTAAAAACAAGTCAAAATATTGTGTTGTATTTTGTCTCTCAATTCCATCATATCCAAGGCACGAGTGGATCCTTTTGTCTTAACCATTAGCATTCCTAATACCAATGTTATTCAAATTAACTTATTTTCTCACATTATGTGCCTCAAGTATCTCAATAAATATTTCATCTTCTTAGAACTTCTCTAGACTCTCCTTTCCCTAACCCTAATCCAGTCCTTTCATCTCCCTCATAGAAAATATGCAATCATGGTTGGAACAAGGCAAGGAACTAATACATCTGACAAAGAAAAGAAAACGGTGAAGAAAGCCAAGAAGCCTACTATGGAAGCCAAACTAGTGATCAATATGCATAGTGTTAAAATGAAAGGGTTAGTTCTAGGAGGGAAGCTTGAAGGTCGAGCCAGAGGTCCTCCCACCATGGAACCTTTAAAAGAGGTCAAAAAGAAGAAACTGAAGAAGGTTGGTGATCACACTTCAAAAAGTGACATTTACCATATCTGACATTACTGGGCAAGGAAACAATGATGAAAATAAAGTATATAAGGGTGATGATGCTCCTAGTAACCAGACTAACCCTGCAGAGGATCCAGCAAAAGAGGTTCTTGATGTTAAACCACTTCAAAAGACTTTCCATTCATCATTGAAGGTAGAGTTTCTAAAACCAACACCTCTAAAAATGTTGTTAAGGATGTGATAGAGAATGTTATTGAGGCTTCCAAAACTAATACGAAAGATCAAGATGGTGATTCTGAAAACCTGACCCAAATCGTAGATTGCCTTCATGCATGTGATAAACCCTCCTAGAGAATATATCTTTGAAAATATTTTCAGTGAAAACCTGTAGAAACTCCTATTGTTTGTGTTTCTATTATAGACACCTTTATCAATGATATTCTGAATGAGTAAAAATAGTGTCAACATTGATGTTGACAAACTTCATAATGATGGTGAAAATATATAGAAACAAATCATGATGGTGCTAATGAAGTAGCTTAATAAGTGGAGGATGAAGAAATTGATACAGAAGTGTAAGGCATAATAAAGGAAGAAGTTCAAAAGAATGGTGTTGATCTAGCCCAGGCAACTGATCTAGGAAATCGAAATGTTGATAAATATGTATCAGACAACCAGTCTAACAGGTTGGAGATAGAGTATCCAACTCAAAAAGAGGCTGAAGGTGTAATGAGTCATTTATAACTCATATGATGTGAGATATTTCCTTAAATAAGTAACAAAAACGTGAAGTGCCGACTTTATAGAGGATCCACATAGAAGACATCTCCTTATATAAGTAAGAACCATTTGATGAAGTAGTATATGTCGAGTTGGCACCTTATCAGAAAAAGTTGTCACAAAAATGCAATGACCTTAGAAGTTACGAGATTTTCCCAAACACTAGAGACAATTTAAATATTAACTTCTGAGAGATCCCTAACACGAGGGGAAATTGTTGAGAAGAATCCATACGTAGAGTTAACATAGTAAAGACAACTAGAATCATACACCCAAGACAAGAATCTTCCACCAAGTTTATAAAGATGTCTTGAATAAGAGTAATAGATTTCACATTTAACTTTTACTCCCAAACCAAATATCTAAATTCTTGTGTAAATCACATATCCATCTAGTAGTTTTCTAATGGCATAGGTTATCCATGAAATTTTGTCACTTTAAAATAGATGCTAAGACAGATGTTAAAACATCATCTGCTGATAAAACAACTTTATCAAAATAGAAGTTATTCAGAATTAAATTGCATAAGGTAAAATAACAGAGTTAATTGTTAATCCAGTTCGGTGCAACGTCGCCTACTCTGTGGGTTACCAAACCAAGAAGGAAATTCACTATAATATTATTAGTTCTAAGCCTAAACAATCCTAGTTTACAACTTATGACTTAATCACTACCCTATGCAATTTCTACCTAGGAACCTCTTAGATATGAGAATTCCCTCTCACTTCCCACAATCACCTCAGTGATAAAAAATCAGTCACAAACCGGTGACTAGATCAAAAGAACCAATTGGAAGGTCATTACCAAATTTCAGCTAAAACAACCTTAGCACAATCAAACTGGAGAGAGGAATAAAAACATAAACATAAAACACAAACTGCATGAAAAACATGTAAACTTTGTACAAACTGCAAGCATAAATATATCAGAGATAACATGCAACTACATATCATCAGATGTTAGGACATGTGGTCTGACATCACACAACATAGCTCTAACACAACACAAGAGTTAGAAAAATTCAGACATATTCATTACTCCCCCTGTCACACGCAACTAGTACTCCCCCTCAAAGGGATAATCCAAATCACTGGAAAATCATAAACATGAACTATCCAAGTTCACACATCAGAGGAACATCCAACAAAATATAAATAAATAAGCCTCACAATTGGATTCTCCATAAAACACATCAGGCAATCAAACCACCATCAGCAGTAGCAGCAACAGAAGTACCAATAAGCATGACAGACTATCATGCATCATCTAAATAATTGCATACAACAAGAAACCACAATAGACTACTCTTAACTTAGCAGTAGTACAGTCCTATCACAATGTTAGTCAACATGGCAAGACATGTGACATGACATCAGGACAAACAAAACACATTAACACTTTACTCTCCCTTTTTATCCAAAAATTGACAAAAATAGAGTAAATGTAAAAACAAATGGAAGCGCGCATATTGCACACAAGGAATAAACACGGATGGAAACACATAATAGCAATAAAAACAAACAAACTTAGATGGAAACGCACAAAATCTTGAACATCTTTAGGTGGTATTCCACCTCTTTCCCCTATCAAATATCCTTCTGCTCTCTTTCATGTTGTCACATGTTTTAGAATTTTTCACACTAAACTTTGTTGCTACTACCTTAGAACATGTCTCCTTCAAACCAGCCTTTCTATCTTGCAGAGATATTTTGTTCCATATTTTATCAATTGCAATTTGTATAGGCTTATCATGTCTCATAGAATAGAGGAAATATGGAGTAAGTGTTGAATTCCTTCATATCTGTAATTTTTATAACTCCTCAATAGTGCAAGTTCCAACCCACTACTTATGTTCTCAATCTGATTAAACATAACAGTAAGTTGTTTCTTGTTGTCCATATGCTCCATAATAACAACCTTTCCTTCAATGCGATTCTTGATTAGTTAATTTTGACTATCAAGATTCTTGTTCCAATCATGTTGAATGAGATGTTTGATATTACAAAGATCTTCACAACATAATGTCAAGATATCATATTTGACATTATAATATTTTAACATATGTTTCTTCCATACTAGTTGAGAGCAACCTCTCCTTATTCCACCATATTCAGCTTCAGTAGTAAGTTTGTTTCTTAGAGATAAACATCTAACAGTACTACTGACCCACTTTGCCTTGCAGAATTATTCCATGTTGAAAGAGTAAGGCACTGCCTAAAAATTAATTCCAATTATGCAATTCAATATCTTCCTTTCTTGAATATTAGGAATCATCCTTGGTTCAACTTTAGAAACAAGCCATGAATGTTATATTTTCTTATTGGATTCAGTGATGTCTTCTTCATTAAGGTGGATTGAAATCATTTCCTTCGATTTTTATATCTGGCATGTAGTAAAGAGACATTTGCTGGCTTGAGAACTCATTGATTCAGCGCTTGTGAATTCACAAATTACCTCCATTACTGCCTCATCAGTCTGCACATAGGATGTTACAACAGTGTCTTCAACATCCATCATTTGTTCAGTAATTGAATCATCAATTTCCACGCTGATAGATTTCATTGTCATTTCAGTTCTGGAGTTAAAAACTCTATAAGCTCTCCTGCTTGAAGAGTAATCCAGAAATACCCCTACATCCATTATGGGATCCTTCTTAACCTCTTGATATATGTCAATGAAGACATAACATTTACTTCCAAAGGTATGAAAATATTTGACTGTAGACTTCTTTCCTTTACATAACTCATATAGAGTAGTTGAAGTACCTCCTCTCAAGGTGACCCAATTATGAATGTAGCATGCAGTATTCATAGCTTAAGCCAAAAACTCCAATGGAAATTGCTTAGTATGAAGCATGACTCTATCTACTTCTTGTATAGCTCTAGTCTTTTGATCAACAATTCCATCTCACTGAGAAGTTATGGAGAAAGAAAATTCATGGCTAATATTTCAGAAGCACAAAATTAAAAGAATTTTGTATTATCAAACTCCTTGTCATGATCACTTATAACCTTGACTATCACACTATTCTTCTTGTGATCGGTGGATCTGGAACTGACTGTTTAACGCTGGTTCGCGAAATGTCGCGGAAGCAAGAGTCGCCACCGTCTTTTATTTTCTCCAAATGGAAAGGACAAAAGCACAGAAAAATTCCTTATAGAGATTGCTCTCGGTTCGGGAGGTAGGTTATAGAAAGGGAAGGTGTTAGCACCCTTTCTATCCATGGTTATCCATGGGCTCTTAGATACTTGCTCATTGTGTTTTCAAAAATGGTTTGTTTGCTTTTCAACTGTGGGTTTTAAAAAGTTTCTTTGAAAATTTCAGTTCGACTCTTGTATCGGTCCTCAAGAGTGTTTGAAAAAATTGCTTTGAAAGCTTTTGAAAATGTGTTGGTGTGAAAAGTATTTTGTTTCGTTTGAAATTAGAGCAAGTATCCTTGAGAACCTACCTACCCTAAGGAATTCGTCTGTGTAAATGTCCTTTAAAGTAGTGCCATCCCACCATTGAGAGGTAGGTAGCACCACCCTTGGAGGTGTTCGGGTCAATTCGAGTTTGTAGGGACATGGTGATCACCAGAGCAATGGGAAGATACCTTAGAAGCTACCCTCATGCCAGGTTCCCGGATCATGAGGACTTACTAAGACATCCTCTACTCGACGATCACCTTTCGAAAGGCAACAGTGAGGCGTACCCTAGGGGTGGTGTGTGCGATTCGTGTGTCATTTTCATTTGCATTTATCTTGTCATGTTATGAGTGTTCTACACTTGTTTTTATTTTTGTCCATTCATTCTTGCATGCTTTGTTTAACAGTTAAAATATTTACGGGAAGAGTAAATCTAAAGCTATTACAAATGGCGCGGGTCCACATCGCCAAAATTAAACCGGACCCGATTTGACAGAAAATAAAGAAATTAAAAGTGCAAAAAGTAAATGTTACAAAGCTTTGGGAGAGGTACATAATTAATTAAGCGAAATAAAATAAATATGCGAAATTAAACAATTAAGAACATGGGCGTTGGACCCTTTTGCAAAAATTAAAATTAATGAGGAAATTAATTAATTAAAAAAAGAAAGATTTGTTTTTGGTGTTTTTTTTGGATTTAATAAAAAAAAGAATTAATTAAAGTTAAAATTGAATGCAAACCCTAATTCTAATGGCTTTTAAATTTATTGAGAAAACATCAAAATTCAACCTAAATTAAACCTAATTTTTTGTGTACAATTTAACTATAAAAATAAATAAATAAATAATATTATGGTAAAAAGG